CAGCAGCTTACGGCCACTCAGTCGTAGCCCAGTTCCCATGGTGTGACGCCTGGTGCGATTCTCTGCTTCTGGCACGCGATACTACAATTGTTAATGCGAGTCCTTGCCTGTAATGAGCAATGTACAGAATCTTTTTTCTGAATCAGTGCTGCATGGCTCTGTGGTAGAATACTTGAGTGCCACGCAGAATGCCTGCGGTTTCAATTCCGACTCGAACCCTGGTATTATTTGCATCCATCGGGATTTTTAGTTCGCGGCCACACCGCCGACGTTCACGCCGTCACCTCATGTACTGCGACACGAGCTGTTTAACGCTACTGCGGTAAAATGACTCAGCTGAGCGTCGACACTGGATACCCGAGTGACTGTGGCCTGCCAGCGATGACGGACGCAATGAGACCAATTGAAGGAGCGATCTGAGATAAACATATGGCGCCATGACACAATACTGCTACAGTTTTTTCGTGGTTTTAGATGTGTGATGTCTGGTCGTAGGCGCGTTGCAGACGTCGGTCACGTCTTAGTCACGGACGCTCAAAGTGGCCAAGTGCGCAGCAGACCTTCGTGTCCTTGTGTGGCTGGTGCTGGCGAAATGCTTCTTCAGAGCCTGCGTGGACGGGGCTACCCGAACCGATGACTTGCGCAGGCCGAAGTGAGCAAGTGCAGATGCCCGCGACTCTTTGCTTACTTTAAAAAAAGTCGACGCCGGGCCTCCCCACCTCAGCAACGGCCGAGCCAACAAACGGTGGCGCAGTGGCGGGGCTCGTCCATCTCCTTCCATCGCCTGCCGCCGCCCCCTAGCGCGTGATGCACCTGTTCAGCGCCGCGCACTGCTGCTGCGCGCACGGAGGCCGGGTGGAAAGAACAATGCTCGAAAGGAAATGTCTGCACCGATGAAGGGCGTCCGGTGCGAACGGAGGCCTTCTGCTCGTGACGCAGAAGTAGAATAAGGAGGTCGTTACGTCAGAGCGATTCGATGTGTTTAAAGAGCCCACGGATGATGCACGTCGCGGTTCTTGGAACCACGCATGATGTAAGGGAGAAATGAGGAGACGAGTGCTATTGCGTGTACGCACACAACCGGTACGTCCATTAAAGAAATGCTGAAATAAAAAAAAACTGTGTGTTGTGCAATTATGACGCCAACGCGTGGGCTATAGCCCGAGGCAGTCTTCGCAAGGTGGGACTATTTTATAACTCGCAGGGCAATGTCGGCAATTTGTAACTTAGTGGGCTTTACTTTTTTTTTCGCACTCGTTTAAGTAGCGTTTAAGCCTGACGCTTTGTTGTCTGTTCTTTCTTGCGTTTAGAAGGCTTTTCTAAAATATCCTATATAATTCTACCACTCCTATACTGCGCGCATCAAATATCTTTAGTCAAAAGGATTCACGGCCCCAATCTCCTGTGAAATTCTCTTTTAGAAAGCATTCGTTACCAGCCTTCTTGCAAATGATCACATTGCTTTAGTTATTCGAGTAAAGCGCCATGTTCGGACCTTCTCAGCTCGGAGACGACTGTTTGGTGGGTAAATTCGATGCTGCATTACCAGTGGTTTGTAGGGGGCAGTGACTGTGTTAAAAAAAATACTACAGTCTTAATCAGGTCCTGGGTAAATTCTGGCCATATCGGGGAAACCAGATGAAAAATGTCTGGTTGTGCTGGTTATATTAACCTGATTAAGAGTGTATAGTTAAACAAGAAACTTAAGTAAGAAACAAATATGGATAGTAAACAGAAAGGCTATACCGTAGCGAAATACATAATCGCTTGCTTGAGTAAACGAAGTAAAAGCTTTTTTTTTTTTCCTCTGCCATAGGGGCACATTCTCGAAGTTTGTGAGCACTGCTTCCTGAAGGCAACATGTAACCTAACCTATAGACGATGGTTAATGATCCTCAATTAAGTTATTTTGCTGGAATAACAAAAGAAAATGCCCCTGGCATATTCGATATACACAATCTTCAGGTGTCACACCGCGCTCTCGAAAAGGAAGATAGTGTTCTCACTTTCCACAATAAATAAGTGAACTTCCCTTTTGTGAGTGTAATATTGGCTTTTATAAACGTATACGTCTACATTGTGCATTTCCTCATCATTTAGTTAACCCCATCATCAACTATAAGCTCTCCATCGTGCGTAAGCTGCTGCTAAGGAATACGTACTATACCAAGGTCGGCCTACGTGTCGAGTAGTAACCGCCTGCATCTAGGAAGTATGAACCAGCGATCATGAATGTTGTAACAATAGGCATCGCCTGTAAGCGCGCGATCACCGTTTGCCTTTAGGATATGCCAGTGTCGAGTATACCAGGGGCATTTTCTTTTGTTATTCCAGCAAAATAATTTAATTGAGGATCATTAATCATCGTCTATAGGTTAAGTTACATGTTGCCTTCAGGAAGCAGTGCTCACAAACTTCGAGAATGTGCCCCTATGGCGGATAAAAAAAAAGCTTCTACTTCGTTTACTCAAGCAAGCGATTATGTACTTCGCTACGGTATAGCCTTTCTGCATAGTTGACGTGTTGCAACGACGAGGAGCCGCCCTTTGGAACACGTCTTATTTGGTTTATACGCTATCTCGCATGTCGAGGATGCTGACTGCCCAGCGAATCACTATTGTCTAAAGATAATAATAATGCACATTGGAATACGTATAGAATAGAAAAATTTTGCACATGTTTTTTTCTTCTTTTTTTTTACATGACTGCATATATTTAATTGTGACTAATATTTGTCTATTATATTGCCTGTGGATATTCTAACTAAATGGCCTCCTGGGCCATTTGATTCGAATGGAAATGTGCTGTTTGTGCTTTGCAGGAAAGTAAATATCCTCCAGTCGCCGAGGCTGCGTTCTTTATTCTTTGTCGTGTAATTAAAACTCGTTCTTTTTCGTGGGGTTTATTACGCCCCTCACTTATCGTATCATTATTTCTTGTTTTATAAGGGCTTTTGGAGCCCTCATCATATGCGTCTACAGCGTAAGTTTCGGGCTTACGACAGAGGCGGAAGTTCAGGGAAATGCCTCCGGGAGCATTGAGAGTCGCCTGCACTTCACGCAGAAGCGCGCTACCGAAATAGCGGGTCTCCTTGTCCGCTTGGGGCCGCATCTTCACAGTGCCATGGTAATTGGAGAACCGAGAGTCCTATGCCTTGCTTGTTCTCTGCGAAGGACTGTCGGCACTGCAGCGAAGCGAAATCATAACAAGCCTCCGAGACGAGGAGCCCCCGCTGGGACGGATCCTGGACGACGACAAAGAGGGGCTCGAGCGGCAAAAACACACAATTTACGGGTCCCTCGGAGGGCGGCATCCGAAGGCAAATTTAGGGTCGTGATGAGACCGTCCATTCTACCGCGGGTATGCCGCCGAGCTGACCTCCGGCCCTGGCCGTCGGCGGGAGGTCGGTCATTTGGGCCGCTTTCGCAAACGCATATGAATTGCAACGCGCCGATAGCAGCACGCCCGGGGTGGCCGCGCCGATTGAGTTGCAAGGCCGCGTGTGTTCGGCCACTGTGGCGATGAATGTCTCTCGCGGGCCGCAGTTTACGATCAGCGCACGGGACCACCCGTGAGCCGGTCGGCCCTCGCTCTGATTGGCTACCACGTTCGACAGGGCGGAGCGCTGCCAGGTGGCACGCGCTTCGTCGGCCCAGGGGTCCGCACGCAGGGCCACCTGGATCGGCCGCGCTCTGGTCACGAGAGAACTTCGAGAGTTCGCCACTTCCCCACGGACAGCGCCATCCATTAAGACCTCCGATCGTCTCCACCTCACGAGAAACTTAACGATGTGTCACGGAGAGTTTGGTTAAACCAGGCCGGTATATATGCTTGCGCAAGGAAGGCCAGTGGTACGAAAGGGTATACGGGCGCATTCAATACTCTTCACCAAACAGTTGGAACATTTTATAAGCGTTCTAACAAAACTGGCGTTTGCAGACGTACTTGGCGCGATAGGCACGCGCGCCACCGTCACCGTGCGTGACACATCGTTGGACCTCGGTCCTGCCGCTCAAAGTTTCGGGCCACTCGTCTCCTTCCGTCATTTGTTACGATGGCTGGGCAACGCGCATTACGATGAGGATAAAAAGTCAGTTAGCTACGTTGGTCTACTCCTTTGGCAGTGCACGTAAGAAAGTTGTATTCCGCGCACAGTGCATGAGTAGCTTCGCCTCTCAAACGTTCTTTCACTGCGTCTAGCAGTGTTTGGACATGGCCTGATTAATGTCTGCAGCTGTCGCTTTCTCACACGTATGCGATTTGCTAGGATGTTTCCACTTAGCACCTCTCGGATCAAAACAGTGTGTTAGAATGCACACCGCAGTTCTTGCCCCGAGCGCACATATTCAGTTTTATTTAAGGGTCTAACACACGTTTCGCTTGCCTTCCGGCTATAGCGATACGTAATTTTTTTTCACCCACCTTGGTTGCGTGCATAGAAACTCGTCAGAGCAAACTTGTCTTTTTCTCTCCCTTCTAGACAAAAATAATTAATCTTAGTGCAAATTCTGTTTGTCGAGATCACTGCAAAAGCTGATGGTTATGAATTTCAAAAAAAATATTCCTGTTAGAGGGCTTCAGATTTACTTCACGCACATCATGCACCCTTGAACAGAAATAATTACCAGGAGAGCGAGAAAACATTTTTATAAGGGTCATGAGCTCTATGGGTGGAGCCCCCAAGTCCAGGGCTCTACTGGCTAGGGCTGCCGTTCTTGCAGCTCGCTCTAGTTGCGCATCACAGCACGTGCATATCCCACGAAGAAAGCAGAGCTCTGTGCGTCCAATGTGAAGTTCCTGCTTTCCGCCGGAGGCCAGATGCAACCGTTTGTTCCAGGCAGGAGTTGTATACATTTACAAGGCATAGCATCGTTTTAACTTCGTTCGTCCGCCTTGTTCTGTGCCTGTGCCCCCAAATAATCACTGTAACCTTACTGTGCTATAAACCGTATGTCATGGCCTTGCTGAGAGCATTTTTTTTTCTTTTACCCCGTTCACAGGTGGCATGAGGCTTGCCGACTCGCGCGGACAGTGCAGAATGAGAGATGACATGTACGACAACGAGTCGACGTGGCCGTACGACCAGTGCACCAACTGTCAATGCCAGGTAGTGGCGATGTATTCTTTGTTTCACCTTTTTACGAGTGCAAGTTTGTCACATACCCGCAGCGCTCCCGGAGGAAAAAAATTACACGGCTGCTTGTTTCCGGGTGTGTTCGTGACTCGTCAAAAAGGGGCGAAATGCTGCTCGGCCAAACTTTCGGATCCGTGCATGAAGCTACTCCGACTTCAGTAAAACTTGCACATTTATTTTGTTACTTCATACCACTAGCTACATGCCACCAAAAGTTTGGTTCATTTGGTACACGGTGTCAAAGCATATTTTGTTTTCGATTCGGGCATGTGGGAGGGGCAAAACGCGACAAAACGGCTTTGAAATGCCTTAGAGGGTGTCTCATCAGGTGAACCATTTACTCATACTAATTGTATATTACGTGTTTTTCTTTAAGAATGTTAGGTCGTACAAGAAAATGTTATATAGAGCATCGTTGATAGAAAACGACATTAAAAAACACTGATTGCTGTTGAGGTAAGGAATCGCTTCATTCGCGCCACATCGAGGCTGTTCTGCGTTCTCAAGGATGCTCTCGAGACACGCATTAAAAAACTGAAAGAATCGCCAAGTCAAGCTGTTCACAAGCACGTTCTGGAAATGGAGTTTTAATAAGCTTTTTTCATACCGAAATTTAAAATATAGCAAGTTATAAAATATCCGAAATTTATCGCCTCACAAAACCCGGCTGACGAAGTTGAAAGGCACGAAATGCCGGTGGATTTCTGCATCAAAACGGCGAAAAGAGGCGAAGAAGATTCGTCAGGACATATCTAGCCGCCAATCATTGAATGATCTAATGAAGTGCAAGCGTTCAACAAAAGACACCATTAGCGCAAAGAAGGACTGGTGATGCTTCATCTGCTATAGGAGTTTTGTAGCAACACAGCGCCGGATTTTGTCTGTATTGATTGCGTGGAGTAAAAGGAGTGGGCTCATAAAGAATTGCGTGGGGCCCATGGAATCGATTTCAAGTGCTTCTACTGCAATATCTCAAGAGATGGAATTTTTTCACACTGTCTCGTTTTGCCCCTCAGGTTGGGGCAAAATGAGACATCTGGTGCATTTTTTTTTAAATTTCTTTTTTAAAACACCGCTTTAAACTGTGGCAACATGGCCATATTTATGCAGCCTTGTAGCCAAAGGAAGGTTTCTGCATTGGCATTTAATTGTAAATAAAGAGTGAAATAAAAAAAATATTATTCCCTATTTTCACATTTTTGTCGCATTTTAACTCATCGTACGCTAAATTTTGGTGAAATTACAGAATCGCACTACAAGGCGTGTGGCTTGCCAGGACAATTGAACACCGCCCATGGAAACACATAAGACACCATTGGCAAATACACTGGGAAGCCACGTGGTTTGTAGTGCTACACTGTAAATTTGCCAGACTTCAAATAAGCCTCTGCTGTATAGAACCGGGAGTAGTTTGTGATAACTAGTTATTTGCGTCAGATATGTTTCTGCCTATTTACCATTCAATTAAGGCAGGCCGCCGCTGTGGCCGACGAGAAATGGCGCTACGTGCAGATGTCCGCAAATCCTGGTAATGGTAAATGGTTTATTTTTTGCTTATCCGGTGTTTAGCCGGCGTTCATCCTGAAACTCGTCGCCCTAGCTAAAGAATGCCACTGAAATAAAAAAAAACAACTAATATTTTATAGCTGTATCTTTTTCCTTCTTCGTTTCTTCAGTAAGTTCGGTATCGTCTTGTCATCCGCGCGTCCTAATGAGCCTCGAAATTTTTTTCTTGCGCTAGGAGTATAGGCAGCCGGAAAGCGTGTCATCCCTGCAACCGGAGCTTGCATTGCACAATGTCGAAACCTGTTGTCCTTGCAGAATGGGACAATCATCTGTCAGCGGACGGTGTGCCCGCCACTACAGTGTCCTCCTGAGCACCAGGAAGCCAGCCCCGACAGCTGCTGCTCGCAGTGCCGAAGGCCCCAAGAGAAGAAAGCCATGTGCATATACAACGGCCAGAAGCGATACGTGAGTTTGTGATTGAGCAGGCAATGCATGCCACTCAGTCGGCCTTCCCAGAGATGTGCATTATGTGCGCACATTGCCGTCGCACTTCCGCTAAGAGGCGCCTATGTGCAATTTTTGAGTTGCAAGGTCTTGCCGAGCTGTAAAAACGAGTGCAACCTTAGAACACACACACACACTATATATATATATATATATATATATATATATATATATATATATATATATATATATATATATATATATATATATATATATATATATATATATATATATATATATAAGGAAACAAGTGTATACTTATACTTAAGGGCTCGTTTTTCGTGTTTTACACAATATTAATGAGATCTAACAGACAATAAAGCCAAGGAAGGTATAGGGGAAGTTATTAGGCCAATTGTAATGTAAATGAGAAGAAAGAAAAGTGGGTGAAAAGATAAGTTGCCGTGGGACCTGCGACCTTCGAATAACGCGTTCGATGCTCTACCACTGAGCTACCACGACAGCTATCCCCCCAGCCACTTTATTGGGTATCTATGTCACTTTAAACGTGGGAGTGTCAGTCAGCGCCACGAGTAGCCATGGCGGCGAGTGTGGTACACTCTTTATGAGCCTGTTTGGCGTCACGTAGCACACGAACTTTTAACTAACTGGCAGCTGACCAATAGCTGACCAATATATATGGGAAAGAAGTGTATACCTAAAGGCTTGTTTTTCCGTGTTTTGACACAATATAATGAGATCTAACAGACAATAATGCCAAGGAATGTATAGGGGAAGTTATTAGAACCAATGTGACGTAAATGAGAAGAAAGAAAAGTCGGTGGAAAAATAACTTGCCGTGAGCCTGTTGTTGCTAAAACCGACTAATCGTTGGGCAGTATTCTGCGACTCCAAGGCGGCTCTACAATGTCTTTCGTCGGCACTTCGTCGCGGGTCCTACGAACAAAAACGGGTATGGTAGATCAGAGAAATGGTGCACTATGCGACCCAACAAGGACACAACATTGTGTTCCAGTGGATACCAAGTCATTGCGGTATCTCCGGCAATGACCTCGCCGACGAAGCAGCCAGAATGCACACGTACAAGAAAACCCTGTGTCCGTACCTTTATCTAGGATTGACTTGGCTAGATACCTAAGTAAGCTGGCGCAGGACATGACACTCCAGAAGTGGCAGTCATCACAGTTCGCACATCAACGACTATATTCTCTCGATCTATCTCTATGACTGCGGCTACCCTCTTGTCTTTCTAGGGAGGAATGTGCAGTGTTGTGCCGTCTGCGTCTGGGCGTAGCCTTCACCAATGCCTACTCATTTAAGATAGGGATGGCCGACAGCGCGGAGTGCAACGACTGTGCCGTCGATGAGACTATTGAACACACCTTATGTTACTGCCCGGCATACACAAACGAGAGGCGTCACCTGCGCAGTGTTTTAAATCAACTCAGTGATTTCGCTGTCGAAAAAGTATATAGGGACCATGGCACTTCCAATCCAATTTTCAAAAGGCAACGAAAGCACTGTTGCATTTTCTCAAAGACACCGACCTATTTCATCGTTTGTGATGGTGAAACTGTTACGCGTCGGCCCAGTCAGTGACCTTTTATCTCCTCCTCTATATAACTTTCCTTCCCCTCTCCCCTTCCTCAGTGCAGGGTAGCCTACCGGGTTTCAGCCCTAATTAACCTCCCTGCCTTTCTCCTTGTGTTCTTTCTCTCTCTCTTAAGTCATCACTAATGTTTTCTTTTTGAAGAGCTTTAATGATGAAATCTCATTTTCTGTTGACAACAACTTTGAGAAATGCCATTACCAGGCGCCACAAAGTTATAGGCCGTAACATGCCGCTCTACAGTGAACATTAGACCTTTACAATGTTGCGAAAGTCCGGCAAACTTGTGCGAAGTTTACTAGTTATATCAGTAATTAATCTAAATTCATTGTTTCGCTTAGTATAAAATATTAATGAGGTTTGTTGAATTGCTCATCAGGTTTCAGCAGCGAAGACGCACTGATTAAAATAAGTTACCGTGGAGTAACGGCATAAGTCACATACGTAATTTTTTTTTCAGCAGCGGTAACGGTAATGCGCGCTAACTTTTTTTTTTTTCGAGGTTACGGAGGGCGGTAACGTATACAATACTGCATTGCGCCAAGATAGGAAGAGGAAATTGATAACCACCCGTTTGCACGAAATCTATGATATCCGCATAGACTTCATGGATCCCCATGAAATCCCGGATTTCAGGGGAATCCATGAAATTCGGAATTTCATTGTAGCTTTGTGCTGTAAATTTCGTTGTAGATTTCGTTGTAGGTTTGTGCTGTAAATAGGTGGTTGTCAATTTTCCTTTCTGTAAAGGACAGTAGGATTGGGCGTTTTGGTATATGATTGATTGATTGATTGATTGATTGATTGATTGATTGATTGATTGGGAGGACAGATAGTGCTGGCGCCCACTAGTTCAGTGCCGCCACACTGCCTTATTCAGCAGAACTGATCTGCAAATAATTGTTCCAAATCGTGCGTTTTTTTTTTTTCCAGCGCAAATATTGTTGCTGCACTGAGCTGCAGGTCTATATTCTTCCGAGTGCTGACACCGATACGTGTGCTTGTAACGGCCGCATTGCCGTCACTCTAACCGCAACTGTATAATTGATATCCCCTCCCCCCTCCTCCCTGGGCCACTTAGCGGTGCCAGTAAAACCCGCGGTAAACTGAGAGCCCGAACATAAGCCGCCCGACAAGCATTATGCCTTTTTTCGTGTGTGTACTTCACGATGTTCACGAGTCATTGTTTGCATGCGACTTAGAACGGTGAAACATGGAAGCTCAAAAAGTGCACCACCTGTTCCTGTCATCACGGGCTGGTGCGCTGCGGTGTGGAGGAATGCATATCCGCACCAGTCTGCCCCCCGAAGAAGAAGCTTGCCACGCCTCCCGGCAAATGTTGTCCCACTTGCGTCGAAGGTAAGCGTTAACTCTAGGCTTGTTAACGAAAAAACAGCGCAAGACGACAGGGACGGAAGAGGCACACACACGAGCTCCGTGTGGTTGCCCCTTTCATCCCTGTCCTCTTCCGCTCCTTTTTTTTTTCTTTAAATTAAAATGCTTCCAAACCAACTGGTCCATCGACAAGCATTAACTCTCGGCTGACATTTTGATGAGTTTGCTAACCATATCGAAACAATGGGCAGGTTTTTGTCGTTTTCAGCGATCACTCTCCGTGAGCGATGCACCACGTGGATCTGTGGTGCATCGCGCGTTCACACCGAGGGCGCGTTCACACCGAGGGCGGTGAGGCAGCGAGCGCGCGCGGCTCTTCAGACCGATCGCGTTCCCTTCTCCTCGCTCTGCCACGGGCACGAGGCAATCCACCAATCCACGGTGGGCGTTTCGCCATCTTGCGGCACTACGCGATACTGCGCACGTGCATCTCGGTTGCTTATTGGCTGCGGCCAAAGCGGCCAACTTTTCCGCGCGGAGAAAATCGTTCCCGGGCGCGATCCCGAGAAGCGGCCGCGGATAGTTCGCTTTTGCGGATAATTCACGTCCGCTTTCCGGATCCACGCTCGGTATGAACGTGCCTTTATACTTCATTTAATACATCAGGTGGAACGCCTTGGAAGTTATGCAAGAATTATGCGATTCCGCACGCTTCTTGCTTGGATTTAGTGGTTGTAAACGTGGCTTCTGCGATTGGCTTCGCCTGCACGCTACCAGAACTAATCTTGGAGATGACGGTATACGAGCACAAAGAAATGCTAAGCGATCCTAAAAAAAACTTGTTGACAATCGTATGAATATCGGAGTTTATTTATTTATAAGTTACAAAGCACTTTCATTCAATACTGAGTCTAAAACAAAAAAAAACGTTGCGTTACAGGTGCTAAAATCCCAGAACTATTTATTCGTGCGAACGCAAAGGGATCCACGAGAAGTCTCGATAGCTTGCATTCCATTAAACCTGACCTATGAAATAGAGTATAAAAAACAAATGGACTAAATTAGAGCTTTCATGACGACGTGGTATTCACTTGTTTTGATACGAACGAGCTATTAGAAAATGTCGCACCACGTAACTGTGCCTTTAGATTTTTTTTAACATAAATGTGTTTTATGTGGGGTCCACCAAGACTTGATGGACGTATTTCCGTCACGGACATGACGTTTTAAGTATACATGAACAGATCTCAAAGAAACAAGTAAACTTTCCATCCCCGGGCATCAAACCTACGACCTCTCGCTCCGTAGCGCGCAGTTTTAACGAACTCGGCCGCAGAGCGTATACATTTGCGCGGCATATAGTAATGGTGAGCTGTTTATACACACCGCATAAGCCACTCGCGGTACGCGGAGCTTGGAGGCACTTAAACATGTTGTAATGAACCAGATGACTCCAACTGCGTGAAGGGCAGTTGCAACCATCTCGCTGATTACAACACGGCGAGGACCTTTACAACACTTTCGTGTTGTAAAGGTCCTTGCCCCACTCATTGCAATGCGCGGGCGCCTGTACTTAGCGCTGCGGGGCGCGGTCGCCCGTGCACGGGTGCTTTACTCCTGAGAATAGTGGAGTTCGTATATACGTCTTGTGCTTTGAACGTATTGTTTGCGTGAAGTTGCAGGGCGCACGATGGTGACTTCGCTCGCTGCAGCTGCCATGTTTGCAGGAAGGCCACGCTGATAAAACACAAGGAAGCAACAACTGTGACCGTTGTTAGTTACCGCTCGTTTTGAGTATATTCACGAGTTTATCTTATGCCTCCGTAGTGTTTTAGCGACGTGCTTGAAACGTCGAGCCGTGAAAGTTGGTAGCGCTGGTCCTGTGTCTGTTTTTTTTTTTTCGTGCGTCCTTTGCACTTGAGCAGAGAGCTGCAAATTTCGATCTGCTTGCTGCACTTTGGCGGGACAATCCCATTCGTTGCTATCGCATTCATTGCTTCGCCCTTGTGGTGAAACTGTGAGTTTTGTATATGGTTGTTGATGCCATCTTTGCGCGGAGTTCACGACATGTTGTGTCCGGGCATACGCGAACAACTAGAGCTACCAGAATGTTTCAATCATAATCATGGGGCTTAGTCGTGACGATGGTGCTGTAGCTGCCAAACGCCGATAGGCAGCTTTCAAATGTCTACTGGAGCTCTCACATATCAATGCACAATAAACGCTCAACTATACCTTTGTGAAGACACGTTTCACTTTCGTGTTTTACCGATTCCCGCGGTGAAGGGATCAGCCACGTTTTTAACCATATTGTCTGTGTGGAGATCGACAAATATTATACCCCTGTAACACTAGTACGCAAAATGTCTTTTTCGTGAGCGGTCTTTTACAAAGTCAAAACACGGTTATTAAAGAGACGCTGCCTCGCGGGCACACGGCACCGATGATCTCTTTTTAGTGTGTTGTTCCGAACGCACCACCGAAACCGTGGCGCTAGCTTTCAAAGCAAAATCAGTGAAAACAAAATTATGTATCTCAATATCAAAAATGCAATGTCTCTCTCGGATCCCTGTAGAAGTTGCCTATAGTCTGCATTCACTTTTCGGTCACCGACTTTGGCCGTAATTACGATGCCGCGCTTCTTGCGTCCTTGCCTGCGACGCGCTAAGCGTCACCATGTACCGGATTGTATCACCGACCCCATATCAACCTGCTTACGATAGTACAGAATAATTTAAAGGGCTCGGTATGCCTTCTACAACCTATAAAGGAAAGTGCAAATTTAATGGCTCGTTTTATTTGTTAGACACAATAATGATGAAAACTAATAGACAATAATGTTACGGAAAATATAGGGGTTGTTATTAAAAGTAAGTGTAATGTAAATGTGAAGAGAGAAAAGCGGACTAAAAGATAACTTACCGCCGGCAGGATACGCACCTGCGACCTTCGAATAACGCATCTGATACTCTACTACTGAGCACTGACGGTGGCGGTCATCGCTCCGTTCACTTTAGAGGGTGTATACATGCATTTAAACGTTAAAGCTTTAGTCAGCGCCATCTGTTGCCGCTGCGGTGAGTGTAGAGCACTCTTATTGCTTGTTGTGGCGTCACGTAGCACGTAATATTATTACGAGATGTCAGCTGACCAATATCCCTCGCAGAGTTACTGTATATGCTACATAAAGGTAGCATATACAGTAACTCTAATCCCTCGCACAACACCTCATGACGTGAAGTCAGCCAGAACGAGACACTCGCTATGAATAAAGGAAAGTGTAAATTTAACGGCTTGTTATTCATTTGCATTATGAGCTTAGATGCCAGAATTAACATTTGCCTATTTTTCACCGTTTCATAATTGCGGGCGCCCACTGGTATCGAGGCTACTCTCATACGGCCTTGAAAGAGGTCGAGGATCGCTGTTACCAAAAAAGACCACTTCTGAAAAAGTGATCACCTGCTATAGCGTGTGTCTGCGGGCAAAACTCATTTTATGAAGTCTTCTCGCTCAAACGTCTTTGAAGTGCCCACGTGACAGGGGTATTAGGAGGGTGCTTATTATTTGCACTGGTTGGTATTCATTTATTGTCATATTATTCGCGCACCACTTTACCGTCTAGGAGATAATTTCATATATACAAGCGCAAATAACACTCTTGCTTTATGGAAATTCTGCCTTCTTCTTCTTCTAATGGTGCGCAAATAACATAACATTGAACACTTAGCCACTGGAGAAGTGATTTTCCCTAGTCTCTCTAAAACTTAGCTTCACGAAACTTGTCAATGGAAGTGAAACGAGATCTATTGCGCGCTGAAAAAAAACAAGAGAAAGGGGATCATTGTTTGATCTTAAGAGAAAACATAATTGCTGTTTTGTATGTGAAAAGGATCACAACAGAACTGATTTTTAGTCAATAAAGAGAATCAACAGTATTTATCTCTTTTTTTTTTCTTCTCTACTCTTTGCAGAGGACGGTGTCTGCACGGTGTACGGAGACCCGCATTACAGGACGTTCGATGGAAGGATGTTCAACTACCAGGGCCCGTGTCGATACGTACTCGCGTCAGACTGCGTTGGCGGCACATTTTCCATCGAAGTGTGGAACGACGTCCGTTACTCCAAGTCGTTCTCATGGACCAAATCTGTCGTCATCAAGGTTCGTCTTGTACTTTCATCTTTACACGCGCTTGTTGCCAGCACTGCGCTGCGCAGTCGTGAACTGTCGTTTACTATTGTCTTTTTTCTGTTCATTTAGATAAAGGACGTCAGGGTGAAGCTGGGACAGTTTATGCGAGTTCGGATACAGAAGAAACGTGTCAAGTTGCCGTACGTGATGCTGCAAGTCCTCAACATCAACCAGGAAGATCACAACATCGTCGTCAGAATTAACAAAGGTGTGTGAAACTATAGTTCCCACAAAAGAATATCGCCTTTCTGTTAGAACAGCGATGGATAGTGCAGATGCGCTCCCATACATCTCCCCATACAGATTGTGTATTTTATTTCTAAAAGACTTTTGAAAACCACACGAAGCGCATCATAACGTGCCTGTGCCTATTGAGTTTGGTTGCCTGAAGAGGGAAATCAATTTCAAGACAAGTTGCCGACTGTACTTTTTTCCCCACTATTTCGCTTTAGGATGCATATTGATATCATGACATTGCATTCGAGTAAGTCTGAAGACTGTACAGCACCTTTCTCTAGGTATCCATCTCCAAGCTTTCCGTCAAAATATTCCGCGAAATCGTCGTTACCGTTGAGATCCCCTCATTCACTGGAAGAACCTTTCTGAGAATCTCTTAACTGAAGCGCCTATCGCATATTTGAGACAGATACATCTTACTCTTCGGCTAAACATGCATTATTTCATTGCTCCTTTATTTGGAGATAACGATTTCACATGCAGGTAATTTCCGCCTTTTCAGGAAATCCACTTTAAAATGTGGGACAGGGTCGCTTGCCGCGCACTCTTTCTTTTTCTTTCTCAGATATGTGCAAACACACGTACACACACAAAAAAGAAATAAATGAATGAAGATGTGCTTATTTCATTGAGAGAATAAGCTATTGAGGGTATGAAGCTGACATTTCTTGAAGTCATAGCGGGGTCACCTTCAGTTTCGAATTTAATCATTCCTGTGCAAACATCCTCGGTACAGTGTCATTCACCACCGAGTTAGTTGTGTAATGCCAAAAAAGCACAATACACGTATCGGTCTGGAAAGAAGATAAACGAGCAAAAACTTTAAGGACTAACGACGAAGATCCTGTTGTTTGCATGCACGTAGTAAAAGCGTTATAAGACAGTTATTAGTATACCGAACTTACCGGTATATCGGGCGTACCGTGATAGTGGGATCGAAGTGCGCACGCGCAGATACGTACGTTACTCATACCGCTTACCGTACCCGCGCCATTTTTCAGCTTTAACGTTACCGAGTTACCGTAGGTGTGCGTAGTGTACGTAAAACATGGCGGCTCTCGGACGCCCGCTTCGAAGTGATTTTGGCGCATAGTGGTTGAACGATTCACTTTTTTCGCAGCAAACGACTGGTTAAAGTGGCTTCGCTTGCCTTCAGTTAGCTTCGATGACCGAGTATTACGGATAGGTTGGCGTAGTTTTCAAGATAGATTCCCATTTCGAACGTGTCTAGGTTTAACTACAAGATCGGTGTAAACAAACCGGCAACATAAGTGTTTTCGCGTGGTTCGTATTTATTTACTTTTCATGTTACTAAAATAAAGTTGTAACAATGTTTCGCGCTGTCAGACATTCTCGTTTTCTTTTTCCTTTCACTGTTCTTACTTCTCAAACATTCAATAGGTAGCGCCACCTCCCCAGTTGGGGCACGTAAACCATGTAAACGCTATCCCGCTAAACTATAAGACACTTTCCGTCACGAACGTTCGCTGCACGGTAACGCCATTCCCTTAACCTCCGCTATCACGCTAACGGTAAACTATAGCTGTCTATAGTGTCCTTGCGCGCAGTTCATCAGCGTGGTTCTGCCGCTTTATGTGACAGTGTATCGCTGAACCGTGTTTTCTTCCTCCAATTAGTGACTGCATACGCGGTGCATGGTTATGGCTGCCTAACCACTCGCATAAATGAGATAACAGCGCTTATTCTGCAATTACATCTGTCGCAAAGCTTTTCTTTCGCTCCGTGCGAGGGGCTTGCGAGCACTATTGTGCGCGTGTGTGCGCATTTGTGAGTGCGTGTGGACGTGGGTGTGGCGCATATACGCCATATTTACACAGATGCTTGGAGCAGTCATGTAAATCATAATCACTACAGACGCGTTAATCAGATGCAGTCGCACCTGAGTGAGTTGCGTGGCACTTAACCGTCAAAGTACAGATCTTTAGCTTTTCTTTACACAACAGGTAGCAACAAATGCGCCCGACCGGAAGTGTGTATGCATTTTGCCTAAATGCTATAAAAAACAGTCATGTTTTTTTTTGTTTTTTAAGGCGTTAGCATCTACAGCGATGTCATGTTCGTTGTGCAGAACCTCCGATTCACTACTGGATGGGTAATGTTAAAGAAATAAGCCCCCTTCCCCAAGATACCAATATCGGCTTGGAAGCTTGATGTACGATTAACGTGACTGATAGGTCGTATGATATCAATAACAAGGTGTGCTCGTCAGTTACGTCACGATTAAGGATGACACCCGTATTAGATATGCGGGTATGACCCGTTAGCTTGCGCTCACCCTGTGCCTCTTTTTTTTTTTTTTGGCACGCCATGGAAAGACTGTTTTGGTAATAGGATTTTTTTTTTTCAGGTGTCAAGGTGGTCTGGGATGGCGACAACTACGTGGAAGTGTCCGTGTCGCCGACCTACAAGAATAAGCTGTGTGGTTTGTGCGGCAACTACAACGACAAACAGGAGGACGATTTCGTGTCCAGAAACGGCACTCGCCTAGCGGACCCCAACGCTTTCGGCAACTCCTGGCTGGTTCGTTTCAAAAGTGAACATATATACGTCGTTGCGCATGGCGAAACACCATTGCTAGCATTATATGCAGCATTTTTTTTTTCTTTTCTTTCCTTTTAAACGTGAATAGCTTTCTTTTTCTTGGTGGGGGGGAGGGGGCGACTTGCACGGCAGATTCTAGATGGGTGGACGGCCCAACCTCTGGCGCGTAGCGTCAGCCGTGCATGCGAGTGACGTAAGCACATCACCGCACAGTATTATATTGTAGCCACGGGATAGCAAAACGAGCCCGTACCCCCACCCCTTCAAAGTTTTTGATGATTGATATGTGGGGTTCAACGTCCCAAAACCACCATATGATTATGAGAGACGCCCCTTCAAAGTTTTTCTTCTCCGTATCATAAGCGAAAAATTGCCATTTCAAGGGGATGCCCCCCCCCCCCTCCCCGGTAAACATTTCTGCCTACGCCCTTGACACTGGATAAGCGAGCATAGACATGAAACCCTGGGCAACTAGTAGAAGCCAAGCGATCTAGCCACTAGGCAGCAGACACCTTTAAGATTGTCCCGTGAGCAAGCAACCGCGTCGAGACGCGTTTCCACAACGCGGATGTTGTCCTCGGGAATGTTACGTGGTGCAAGCTGGTGCGATGAGACTATTGGCGCATTTTCACAACGTTGATGCCGTTATGCTAGTCGCATTGTCAATGACATCATCATCATCATCATCATCATCAGCCTGACTACGTCCACTGCAGGACAAAGGCCTCTCTCATGTTCCGCCAGTTGACCCGGTCCTGTGCTTGCTGCTGCCAATTTATACCCGCAAACTTCTTAATCTCATCTGCCCACCTAACCTTCTGTCTCCCCCTAACCCGCTTCCCTTCTCTGGGAATCCAGTTAGTCACCCTTAATGACCAGCGGTTATCCTGTCTACGCGCTACATGCCCGGCCCATGTCCATTTCCTCTTCTTTATTTCAGCTATGATGTCCTTAACCCCCGTTTGTCCCCTAATCCACTCTGCTCTCTTCTTGTCTCTTAAGTTTGCACCTACCATTCTTCTTTCCATTGCTCGCTGCGTCGTCCTCAATTTAAGCTGAACCCTCTTTGTAAGTCTCCAGGTTTCTGCTCCGTAGCTAAGTACCGGCGAGATACAGCTGTTATATACCTTCCTCTTGAGGGATAGTGGCAATCTACGTGTCATAATAACTCTCTCAAATTGTCAATGACGACTGACACCAATCAAGTTCTCTCTCTCTAATTTAATACTTATGGAAGTGCACGGTCTGTATACCGACACGTCCGTCAGTATATGTATCCTATCGTCCTGCACTCAGGCTATAACCTTATGTTTTGTTACCTCACGATATCTCTGTTGGTACACTTGTCTCGCAGGTATTACAGCGGTGGAGTGCTGTATAAACCTGCTTTATACAATCATCAACCCCCCCATCCCGCCCCTGCCTTCCTACCCCATTAAAACAAATGGTGACTTAAAGATGTCCCTGCATATAATTAGCAATATGAATTCGACGGAAAGCCGGCCACATTTTTGATGAAGGCGAAAATGTTGTAGGCCCGTGTGCTCAGATTTGGGTGCACGTTAAAGAACCCCATGGGTGGTCGAAATTTCCGGAGCCCTCCACTACGGCGCCTCTGAATCATATCGTGGTTTTGGGACGTTGAACCCATGCACCCACTCAACTGGATCACGCAGTGCAAAAACAATCAAACAGACCTAATATGCATTAAATATACATAGTAACTCTCGCTCAGGTTAACTTTCGGTCATATTTGAAAATCAAGCTGCCAAGCTCAGCAATGTTCGGCCACCGCGCCGATGTGCTGTAGGCTTGGACTGCGACGCATCAAATAACTTGAATTTCACTGTGCGCAAAACGCACCCAGTTATTGTGCATGACGTCACGCCGAAGAACGATTAACTGGCGGACAGACCTTGCACAAAGGCGCTACTTTAGAGCACACTCCAGCGAAATTAATTGTATATAAAGCCGGAAGATTAACGCGTACCTATAAATTGTTGGGCAGATTAAAAGAAACTGCATTATTTTCCTCTACGTTTTCGTCGCTTTCAACGTCTACAGGAGAAATTATTATTCTTTCTCATTCAGGTCGGCCGTCGGAAAAGGTGCTTCCGACCAGCGACTCGAGCCAGTCATCCCTTGGACTGCAGGCTCAAACACTGGAACTTGCGCCAGCAAAACCTGAAGCTCTGCAATCACATCAAGCAGGAGCCATTCAAGGCGTGCCACAAGGTCGTCGAGGCAACATCCTATTTCAGGTGAGGAGATCGATGTTTTGTCGGCGTGTATGCACTTTCAAGGACACAGAGTCTCTTATTACAATTAATAAAAGAGACTGGACTTACGCCTGTCATTCTTACGTGCAACACCGCACTCTCTGGTCAGCACAGTATATATTCACAAAACTGCCTCTCTCTCTCTTTTTTTTGCGAGGTGACAACGCAACGCAAGCTGAAGAAAGCATAAGAGGCGCCTGAAAAAAGTAGCTTTTGTCTTTATCACCTCGCGCTGCGTTATTACCTTTTGCACAGTATGAACCAACTAGCCCAACAGCACGTCCTATCAAACATGTTTTTTTTTTGTTCGCACCACTTGACTAAACACACAGTAGCACACTTTCATTGTGCGAACTTTAATCGCAATACAATAGGAAGCTGCTCGTGTGACTGTAGTTTGGTGTAAGTGATTAGTTGTCGCAAAACAGCCAACTGGGCTGGTTGGTAGCGGTTCATTATGAAAGATAGAAGTGGAATGCTGTACGTAACAGGGACTGGAGGAGAAACCGAGAGAAGGAACAAATCTGACAGACATATCAATATGGGGCGGGGGGGGGGGGGGGGGGGGACACGTTTATCGCATCTTCGGGGGAAAAGCGCTCGGACGCACGGGTGACGCCGCATCACGTGCGCTTGTGCTGCTCTCTTCTTCTAGTCGCTGTTACGTATTGCGCCCCACTTCTATCTCTCGTAATGATTAGTTGTCCCTATGAAATATTAGTTCAACTATCTCAGCCAAATGTTGCGCGCGTGCACGCAACTTAAGCCATGTGCCTCCAAATTACCGAAACGCTATTCCCTACACGGTTTCGGATTTTCAGCGTGCTGTGGCATGTGTTTAGTTATTTCGCGTCTTCGTGTATTATTATGCGTTTGTGTCAGCACTTACGCTTGCTGCGTGATAACGCGTCTGTGCGATCCTTCGCGTTTACGTTTTCCGAGAGCTTCTTATCGCAATAACGCTGCAAAGGTATCGCGCACCACCGCCAACGGTCTGGCGTAAATGCATATATGCATGGTGGTCAGCCATTGCGATCCCAATCTTTATGCACATGCCAAGAATGATGGCTCCGCTCATAAATTCCTACAGGACCTACGGTCTGCGTGTTTGTGAAATTTAATATTGAATCGGAGAAGCCTGAACAACGAGTTGTGTATATCGCGAATCACATATATGCATGAACCAGTCAAGACGACTGCGGACAAGGCAGATAAGCGACACACAGCGCGATTGGGTGTGTTGTTGGGTCCAGTCGTTGGGTGTGTCACTTTTCTTCCTTATCTTCTATGAATGGTTTATGCTTTAGCGTCATGTACCAACTCACCCAGACTTCGACTTTATTGTATACTACGAATATACAGATGTATAGCGAGCAACCATAAGCAGAGGTTTTGAACTATATTGGTCTCCCGTGGCGTAGAATGCGCTACAGCCCGCAGCTTCGATAGATGCGCTCAACGTATACAGTTAGCATGCTGAGGCATGCATGCAGGCGAAAAAGAGGTGGCACGTGCAACCAATTAATGAGGATGGTTTGTCACTTGACTTAATAATGTTAACAGGCCTCCACTGTTTATGGTGGGCCCGTATGGCAGGTTCTCACTGTGATTCAGATGTACGACACGCAAGAATGTACTTTCAGAAGTACATGGCGAAAATTTGTGGAACATACGAAAACACAGGAGTCTGTTCCTGAGTGGTTGTTGAGGGTGGAACCCCTTACAGCTTTCGAGGAATTTTAAAGCTAGTGTCTATTCAGTATATAAGACGTGCACCACTTGTTTTCGTCAACTTTACGGCATTATTCTATGTACACAGTGTCTGGAAACAGGCAATAAAGCACAAAAAAATGACCCGAGTCACGCCAAACGCACGCAAGGCTTTTCCAGACCATGTTGCAAATTTCTCAGGCAGAAACGAAACGATGACAAAATGAACATATGCGAAGGCAAGCACTTGTCTTCCTTTAACGTTCTTCTTGTCCTTGGTTTGTTTCGGCACTGTGAATTTAAATCAGATAAGTCAACCAACTAGAACAGTCCCGTACTTCTCGACTTTGTTCAACCGCTCCAGGTGGCCACGTACCACTATTTCAGAGCACACCAGAAAAGCATTTTCTCTCTCTTTCCCGCTTTTTTTTTTACATTCATTTCTACCTTCACCTTCGTGAACCTTGATGCGTCCATGTTGCGAAGTTTGCGTACCTAAAGCGCTGCTTTTTCTGCGGCTATTGGGCAGAGCCGAGAAGCTTCTCCCCACGCAATCCGCGAAGAAGAAGAAGAAAAAAAAATTTCTTTGCTTTTCGTCTATCTCTCATTTAAACAGACGCAGCGCTCTTTCACAACGTTCAGAAAGTTGAAATTATCGTAAGCCGACAAGGTCCGAGAAAGTACCCCCCCCCCCCCCCCCCCCCCAGATTTCAAGCGTGTGTATGCACGGCGTCGCTAAGAGCACCGGAAGCGGCTCTTTTTTCACGGCTTG